TCAAATGGGCGGCGCGACCCCGCCCATCGCGCCAAACGACATACACCCCACTATAACGCTTTAGCTCACAGCCAGGCGTTCGGGCCAGGACCCACAGGCGGGTTACTGTGGTGGACGAGCCCCCGCTCCGTGTTTTCCTTTCTGCAAAACACGGATAGAGCTTTGAGCACGTGCGTAGGTTACGCTACTGTCTGTCCCAGATTTCAAGGATTACAAGCTATGGCCAGATTCTAGGGATTACAAGCTATAACCAACATCTAAGAATCATGCCATGCAGTCAACCACATTGGCATCTTTCATAGTCCACGACCGGTCGCGCGACCAGTCGCGCGATCGGTCGTGGACTATGAAAGATGCCATTCAAAATGCCCCTTGTATAGGCAATGCCGATTCCTTAAAAGAAAGGTTCGTGTGCTGAATGTAATAGTGGTAAGCACGCTTATCTTCATGAATATCGGTTTCAGTTTTACCAAACAGTTTTACAACTCAGTAGCAAATGAACTTTTGAAGGTGTAAGATGAAAAACGTTTAACTAACCTGCGCCTGGATCTTGCCTTCTGCAGGGTTTGAACGCAACTCGCGGAAGTCGTTCATAAACATACTATTTGACGATTGAGGAGAAAAGATTTTTAGATTATTTTGAACTTCCACCATGGACTGCATGTTTCAACTGCTACAAATATTTTATAAAAACATATAAAAACGAAAAGATACATCCGAAGGAATACAAAGGAGACACATATTTGAAAGCAAATCAAAGTTTTGTGCTTTATCGAGAACAGGCTTTACTGTTAGACTTTCAAAAGTTCCTGGATCGAAAAGGCTCTTGCCTTCCGCTTTAATAACGTTGGGATTCGAAACCTTTATAATCTGCTTTCGAGGATACTGAAACTACATGTACAAGTACCCGAATTATGCCGAAAGTAAGATTTTGTGTAAATCCTCTACTGACCACGAACTGGAGGCTAACAAGGTAATGCAACATAATTAAGCAGTCAGGGAGCTACTGATGCTCGTAAAAATCGTCAATGACTCGTTTTAACACAGGCGTTGAAGACGAGGGAACTAATGCATAAGGAGAGTAGTTGAATGAGCATCCAATCGACTGCTTTGACCGTTGTTCCCATATGTTTACATTCCATCTTGGAGATCTGTTATCGCCTGCATAAGACATGTGGCAATAAGGCGTTAAACCAAAGCGTAACAATAGTCACGAGTGATGAGGTGTCAACTATGTCTTCTATGGTTTGGGTAGGTTCCAATCCTCACTACTCCACAATGAGAATATTCGAGTAGAGAAACAAACGTGGAAACCCTAATTTGTCAATACGAAGAAAAGACCATATTGATAGATCTGAGACATATTGGATTTTTAGAGCCAGATGAGAAAAATGAGCTCCCTAGGGCAAAAAAACGATCGCACTTATAGGTACTGTCGATCCTCGCGCGGATGCGCGGAGCTGGCTGCCGCGCGCGAAATCCTCGTTTCAGCAAAGCTCATGACTCTTCCTGCCACCCATACGACACAACGGGTCACTCCATTATTTTGAGGAAAATATGACTATGAACAGGTGAAGGTGCTAAATAATACCTACACCAGTTTGGTCGGAGTGGTAGATATCTCGTTGAGCATAGAAGACAACCGACTGCACTACGAGCTCGTAGGGTTCATAATAAAAATGACCATTTGAGAGTTTTACGGGTAACGACCGGCTAAGATGCAAGTGAACAAGCTGAACGAAATAAGTGAGGTCGTACAATAAACGTATCCAAGGGTGCTCTGGTAGTAGTTTCGAACAGAAACTTAGTTAATCATTGCAACCGGCTGATCATCCCCTCCATAAAAGATGCGGGGCAGCGTACATGGTTTTCTGGGGGTATGGGTACATTCACCCAGAACTCAATGGACGCGACAAATCGCGCAACAAAATTCGTGGTGATTTGAATTTGATTCAGCGCCTATCATTCGGACCCAAATTTGAAGTGGAGTCGATTAGTATGATCATCTGACCATACTAATGTACTCTACTTCAAGTTTGCGCCCCAATGACAGGTGTCAAAGTCGTCCTGAACGCTACGAATCTCGCCATTTGCCGCGTCCGTCCAGTTCTGGGTGAATGTTCCGTCCCCTGGTTGGCTGGCGGCAAGGGGGGACGGTACATTCGTGCGATTCGAGCTGCGCGCGGCGAAATTCGTGGCCATTTGAACGACCCTGGCGCCTATTATTGGGGTACAAACTTGGTGTAGAGTTGATTATTATGGTCAGCTGATCCTACTAAGCTTCTCTACATCAAATCTGGGCCCCAATAATAGGCGCCGAAGTCGTCACAATCGCTATGTATTTTGCCGCGCAGTTTGCCGCGCGCAGCTCGAATCGCACGAATGTACACACACCCGGCGGCAAGTGGCAGCGGTTTCGCGGCAATTACCGTAACCTTCCACCAGACATTGAATCTTCTCCTTCACACCGCCTCATCGGATGCGGCCAGCACGGCATTCAGGTGGTAGAACTCACAAACTACACGGTTGACTGCACAAGTAAATGGTCAAGTTGGAAGAGGTACGTTTTGACCTCTTCCCCATCGTATCCTTTAGGTATAGAATTCGCACTGTTTCCTAGACTATATCAGAAATAGGAGAATCTTCAAAGGGAAGTTGATAATTACTGATTGCTTTCGTACTTTGTCCCAGTGACGTACGATAAACATGGCACGAAATTGCCGCGCACAAGCACGCCCTCCTCACAAAGCGGAACTACAAATAACTCGTCCTGTAATTCATTGTATGGCGCCAACCGCGAGTAGTCAAGTCTCCATGTCCTGACTGAACTTCATACCCCTTCCAGTTGTATTAACTGATTAATCCTGAAACCCAGTGGTATGCGCATTTTCATAGCCTGTTGGAACGATCTCCTGTAGCGGGACGAGTATTTTAGGGGCTAGCATTTGAGAATAAATTACTTTTGTTCATCTGGATCGTTACTATGGCATCAGCCTATCGACCCACTCGAAGCTTTTCATTTTGCAGCACTGCTATGTCGACATACTTACGAGTCACACTTCCTGAACTCCTCTCAGGTTTTCCTGCACAATGTTGAGGATGTACTTTATACTTTCAGGACGCTCAGGTAAACTTGCTACCTGGGACAGGAACAAACCGTAAGGCACTTCCGTAGGCTTCCATAGTGTTGTTTTCTTACAGTGACTGTACGGTGAAACAAAATGCAATGAACGCAGTATTTCGCAGACAACATATTTGCTCCCATTGTGTAAACGTATTAGGTTGAGTCATAAGCCTTCGGACAAAGTGATAGTGATGAATTCTAGAGATCATAACTTGGGAAAGGCGAGACGAAAATGGACGCGCGTGGCATCGTTAAATGGAGTATGAAAAGCTCTTCGAAATACATGCCAACGAACACACCTAGCTGCTTCCCTTCCTGCAACCATGCCCCATGATTTCAAGCCGTCGCAACTCCAGCTCCGCAACACCACCCTATTTCTTTACCTGGCCAAGAACCCGCGGAGATCGATAGACGTATGAAGGAGGTTTACAACAAAGTTGCTCCTGCTAGACCGAAATTTACAAGTGGCACAAGAAGTTCACTTCGGACGGCCATTCCATCGAAAATGAAGACCATCCGGGGCACTCAATGAAGTTGGATTTGGACGTGCTGCGGAGCCAGGTGGAAGCCGATCCGTACTAAACTGCTCGTGAACTGGCAGTTACTCAAGGAGTCAGTCCACAGTTATTCGTGGATTGAAGTCAATCGGCAAGGTGCGAAAGCTTGGTCGATGAGTGCATCATGCTTTAAAGGCACTGTTCACGATAAAAAAAGGTTATTCAGTGTTCCTTCAGGAATACTCAGCGCTCCCATGGGTGGTAGAAGGGACCCTCTCGCTCCGACAATCCCGGCTCTTAGGGCATAGTGGAAGCCCCGTTGTTGCCGTAGTTCGCTTTCCCGCCCCTCGAACAGTGTCACGTTAGACGAGTGTCGAGACATTACAGATTGCTATCATTCATTCTAGGACCCACGCACAATCAGCTAATCGCCGAGTGATGAGGCGATGTTTTTCTTCCATTCTTTTTTTTTCTCTGTTTTTCTTTTTGCTGCCGCGATCCCTTATTTAACTTCCTACTCCTAGAGGCTGAAAAAGGTGAGCTACTTTTGCTGTTACTAGGGTTTTTTTTATTTATGCTTATGGGTAAATGAATTTTCGCTTACCATTGTCTGTTATTCGCACCAGGACCCACACGCGCGCAGTGAAACACGCTGTTCAGCTTGTCTGGACGCCCCACTCTTCTTCATTTTTCTGAACCATTTCTCCTCCAGCCCCCTTTTTAACGGTTTTTCAAAGCCTTTTTTTTTTTGTGGAAACACCTATGCACGCAGTTTCTTCACCTCAGTCGCACTAGTTTCGATGTCATGGACTGCCGCGCCGACATGGCAAATTCTCTCCTCACGCTCAAGCGCAGGAAACGAAGAATAGTTGGGTATGGTCAGCTGATCCTGCTGACCCACTCTACTTCAAGTTTGTGCTCCAATAGTAGGCGTCAGAGTCGTTCGAATCAACCCGAATTCCGCCGCGCATTTTGCCGCGCGCACCCAGAATCGCATGAATCGAGCGTCCCCTTTAGAAGTCATCACTATCACATTGTCCGAAGACTTATGACTCAACGTAATATTTGAATACACAAATTCTCAACCAGTCCCATGTAAGACACATCGAAAAAGGCCCCTGCCAAAGGCTAACAATTCAAAGTTGGGTGGCCGCAGGGCTACGTTTCATTTTTACCACTCGTTCCAGGCAAGACCTGCAGATGGTTTACAGTAGCAAGCGGGTTCTCGTACTGTTCTTGTTCCCCTTCATATGAGAAAAAGACGAGGCAATGATTAAAACTGAAATACTCCACACACAGGGTACCACCCAGTTTGCAAAGCTCAGGAGAAGTAGTTTCAGTGATCGCTTAGGTATACTTGCTGTACAGCACGGTTGGATTGCAGCAGGATCGAGGAGGTTGAGACGGTCAAGCAGATGACTTATACCTGATCAAGAGTGACAACGTGAAAGCGAGGGTGATGGGCTGGCCGGAGGATAATCCGATTAGAACAGCACCTATGACATTGAAAAGGAGAAGCAGTCAAGGAAATCCAAGGAAAGGGTGGGAGGATATCCTCAGAGCGAATCTCACTGGAATCAAAGTCTAGGTAAAAGATGGTTTAGATTTCAGTAGTCAAAGGCCATTCCTGTTGAGGAGTGCCCTATCTTACGACGAATTATTTTACCACCACTCACTTCCCCCTATGGTGAAATGTGATCCTCAAAAGTGGTATCAGTCTCATTATACCCTGTTCAATATCAGGTTACTCTTGAAGAAAGCAACTTAAGAGACTGAGGAATCCCCAAAGATCGCTATCAGCAACGCTGGGTAAGCAGCAGAAACAAGCAAATTCAAACGAGAAGACTGGCACGCAAAAAGGGAAAGGGCATAAGGGCAAGCGGGCAGGAGCGTAGAGCAGCAGTTGTGAATCAACCAATCATTCCCTGGACATCGCGATTGCGAAATATCGGGCGTTTAAAAGTTTGTCGTTGCAGGACCCCAACTGCTGATCGTATTACCTAGTTCTAGGTTCTGTACGAGGTGATGGATGCGTTTATAAC